CCCGCGGTACGTATATATGCACCGTGGCATGGTGTCCGTGAGCCAATAAAGCGTCACATTAGTCAAAAGCTCGTCAATGCCAATCGGATCATCGGGCCATTCTAAAAACTTTTCACCCATCCTATGTAAGAAGTTAAACACTGTCTGCGCAGTTGGAGCTTGGAGCATTGTGGATTCACCATGCCAAAAGGGCAAGGGGGCTGGAAGAAACCATAGCCCCGATTGTAGCCGGCCTCGTACTTTGGAGCAAGGCGGCTCCTGTGGTTGGCGTTAAGAACCGACGTCCCACGTACTCGATAGCCTCCTTGTCTTTGGATGATAGGGAAGGGTCATCGACGCTCGGCATTTCGAGACTCGGCAGCAGATTGACTTATCGTTATCAGCACGGGGACTACAAACTGATTTTGACGACTAGAGTCTTACGGTGAATGGCTGCGACTGAGTCGTAGTTTGTTGCAAGTATTGAAGCTATCAGTGATCCGACATCTCCTCCCTGCACGGCATACCGACTGAACCCGAGCGCGATCATCGCCTTGTTGATCACGCGTGCGGCATCTTGACTGGTATAGGCCTGCGCCTGGCCCGGTCCGGAGCTGAACAAGTATCCTGGGAGAGACGGAACGATGAAATGGTAAGGCAGCTCAGACGGGCTATACTTCTGCTGAACAATCTCCAGGACGGGCATGAATTCAAGGAAGCTGCCTGGCCACCCGTGAATCAGCACAATGGGGTAAGCATCCTCTCTTTCCGAAAATAGGCCAACAAAATGGAGGTCGATATTCTCCTTGTCGGTCTCGTCGGGGACCAGAATCTTGAAGTTGGGGAGTGCGTTAATGCGGTCTTCTTGGGCACGACAGTTGAAGTCGGTTAACCAGTAGCGCCTAGTCGAGGTAAGCCATTGGTGTGGGATGCCATAGCGTCCATCCTTGTGTTGGTTTTCCCAAGTCTCAGGTCCCGAACGGGTAACCTGCAAGACGGCCCGGAACTGAGAATAGTCGTCGTCTGGGATGGAAAGGGTGAAAGGGCGAGCGATACTAGGGACTGAGTATGGCATGGTGTACTCGGGCAAAGTGTTAAAGAATATGTAGCGGGTTCAGGATCAGTGCTGGCAAGTTGACAGGGAGGTTCCATTGCATTCTCGTTGCTACAAGCGATCGAACTGCTGAAGCTGCTACTTTTGTCTGCGTCTCCGCCCCTTTAAAGTAATGGGCTATTAAAAAGAAAAAGAAACGCCCCCCCCAACCCCCCCCCCAACCCCCCCCCCCCCCCCACACGAATACATGTCAAATAGTCACACTATTATAGCATCTACTCAACTGAAGCTGCTACTTATCATTCCAGAAGGAAGGTAATCATGAAATCGAACATCCAGTCAACATTATTACAAATAATTCAGATCGAACTGAAATGCCCAAGCGTCGGATTCCACAAACGCCACAGTGGGGCTTTTCGGAGTCATACGGCACCAAGAAACCCATTCAGAAAGCCAGTTGTGCTTGACGAGCAGGGTTGTATAAGGATGCCTGAAAGTCAGGCTAAAAGCGGGGAGGTAGCTCGGTAACTTCCAATCAAAGTCATCTGTGGATCACCCCGATCTAGCTACGCGTCGGCGTGACTACATACGCAAAGTGATAGCGATGAATCAAGAATAATGCTAAAGGCTTCAGCATGACTCAAACCCTGGCTTTATGTCATGTTTCGTTATCAAGACCCACTACCCCGCAGCACTGTCGGCTTTTCACACCAATAGTGCTGGTGATTCGAATGGTGCTATGGGCTATTTGGCCTGTAAGATACCGTCGGGTTGGTTGTCCAGTTACTCGAGTCAGGGCATGCGCAGGGGCCACCTACGGCCACTTGATAGATTCTCAAATACCTACCTACCCAACCTCAGGATACATGCTACCTTTTACTCCGTACAGAATCAGGGGAATACAGTCATCTGATCTTTCGTCGTACCACGAATCGTTCCGGTCGGAACCAAGCACCCTGTGATAGGAACTCAAACAGATGCCAACAGCTGGTCACACTGACAAGCAAATCGGATGCTATAAATGCGTTTTCCGAGAGTTAATGGCACTCTCAATTATCTTGTTCTCTGATCCATCTAGTGCACCAAGCCTTGAGCCCCGTCAGGATGGAATCAATATTTCAGAGAGAGACTTTAGTCTCGGCAGCATTCCGAACAACAACAAATCCAGTTTTCACGCAAACCATCATCGGAAAGAAGTCGGCATTGTCCGAAGATGTCGAGGAATTCCGTGGCATCCCTTACGGCTACGTGAGCAGAAGATGGGAGCATTCCCGGCTGAGGGATCGATTGCCTAACGAGGTGTTCGACGCCACAAAAAATGGGTAAGCGGGTCTGCCCTTTTGCTCTTGGTCTTGTCTGTGCCGATATTGGTATAATGACCGCTAACCGAATCAAAGTCCCAAGTGTCCTGCGGCAGGGATACCCAATTCTCGATCGTTTCAGTCGTACCTGCCTTACCCGAGCGATGATGAGGACGAATTTGCGTGTTTGAACCTTTTGGTGGTCCGACCAAGCCCGGAGGCTGTGGCTAAGATCTCCGGCACTTCTCGACTGGTGAAGATACCTGTCATGGTGTGGATTCACGGCGGTGGTTTTGCAGATGGGTCATATAGCGACCCTGTTTGTGGTATATTGTAATCTGACGCTACCTTGTACTTAGTATCTTTGTCTAACCCGTCATCATTTAGATCCCTCACAGCTTGTACGCCGAGCTCTTGCTAAGGGCACGCCTTTCATCGCAATTGCCATGAATTACCGTCTTAACATCTTCGGCTTCGGCGCCTCATCCACGATGCTTGGGACGCAAGATTCTGATGGCTCTGTCAAGGGTGTCAACTTCGGCCTTTACGACCAGAAAGTCGCCCTTATCTGGATCAAACATCATGTTGGCGAGTTCGGCGGTGACCCTACCAGAATTACCATTATGGGCCAATCTGCTGGAGCAACATCTTGCCACGTTCACTTGCTCGAGGCTGAAGGGAGCTCTCGAAAGCCGTTATTTCAGAAGGCTGCCTTAATGTCAGGGGCTTTTGGTGGACTTGATGTGTCGCTCATCGAGAAGGCGGATGAGCGCTGGGAGAAACTCTGTCAATGGCTCTCGTTGCACGAACTAAGCCCAACGGATCGTCTGGAATCACTTAGGACCGTTCCCGTCCATGAATTGCTATACGCCGTATCTAAGCTTTGTTGGAGGTTTTTCACCCTCATCATCGACGGCTTAACCATCAGACAGACTGATTCAAACGGCAACGTCTCCATACATCTTGGGCACGATGACTGGGACACACATCTCAAGGACATCGGGGACGACGTCCAAGTTCTGTTGGGTGCTACGGCTCAAGAGTTTTACGGCTTCGTCCGTATGGCCAACTGGACCTTGGAGGATTTCAACACACTATTCAGACCGTCTTTTCCATCGCAGGGAGTGGCTGAGAGAATCGCAAAAGCATATGGCATTGTACGCACCTCCCCTAACGAGTCGATTCAAGAAGGACTAGTTCAATTCATCTCTGACGCAACCATGACGTACACCAAGACGTACCGCGCCGGGGAACTGCTGAAGGCCCGTCGTGGCGTGCGACAGAGGGCGTCCGGGACGAATGCTAGATGTGCCAGGATCCAGCAGTATCATGTGGAATTAGGTAATCCTTTTCTCGGCCCGATGCACAGGATTGCACATCACGGGGTGGACTTGATCTACTCATTTGGTAACTTCGAAGCCGCCTTGGAGAATTGCGACCGCGGTACCCCGGGAGGCTACGTCGAGCCCGGCTCAGATGGGCCGGGACATACTCCTAACCAACCGACTACTGCTCTAATACATCCCCCGACGAAAATGGGCCGCCAGCAAGGTCACAAATCACACGTGGAATTGAGTCGCGATATGCAAGACGACCTCGTTGATTTCATTGTGGGAGGGCCGTGTAATTCCGATGGTTGCGGACATGACGATCAAACGAAATTTTACTGTTCTGATCGATCAGTACGCGTGGGAAATTGGATCGACAGCGAGGTGTGGAATACGAGAAAGGAGAGATACGATGCTTTGGGGAGTGATGTTATTTCCATGGTTACCGCCTCCAAGAAACTCGTTGGGAGTGTCTTGAATATGCCATTGGAATAGCTGTTGCATATGATATTGTTAAGAGCCCCGCCACCGTGAGACCACGTAGGGGTCATTTCAGTATATAGAATCTAAGCTAAGGAATAGAGGTTTTGGAGCGGGGGTTCCGCAGAGGAAGAGCGCTCAAGTAGAACCTCCGTCCAGGCAGCGCGGTGAACCGTGGCAGTATCCGGGCTGAGGCCCGGATCCACTAATCGGGTCTAGCCCGTCACAGATGTACTATCAACCGTAACGCAGTTCAACGGCCGCCATAATTGAGAGCTTCTTAAAATTCCGAAAGCTACTAAGGTCCTGAAGCACGGAAGGATTCGAGGAATTCGGTAGTCTGTCAATCTCGTCCCATAGGCAGCCTCTCTCACTATCCCATCAACTGTGGAATGGTGTCAGTACATAGGTACGTACTCTGTTTGAGGGGTAACAATGTATTATATATTCTTCCTTATTACTTCGTAGTACTGTATTACCGTTTTAATTCCTCTTAATGCACTCAATTAAAAATCTGGAGAAGGATTAGCGTTGGAGAAAACCGGAGGCGTATGTCCCAACGCCGTTCTACAATTGGTGGTATAAAGAGCGTCACTGAATTCGCGGTTGATGTAGTGTACAGCCGTCATAGCCAAATCGCACACGCACGCTTACTAGGACTTCGGGCTTGAGCGGGGCCGGGCGGCGTCTTCTGGCCCATCGGTCTTGCGATCACTCGGGCACGTATTGCCGCGCTGTGCATCCTGCGCCCACCGTATCGTAGTTGCCTCCGGACAGCACCAGCTATCTCCGAAAAGCGTTAAAGAAGCCAGGCAGCAAGGCACCATCCCCGCCCGTGGTTGTAGTGAGGAAGGTCAGCTTTTGACACACTCAGGCGCGCAGGCTGCCGTTAAAAATCCTTACCGCGCAATGAAGGTTGTCAGTTCAATTGCGAAAATACGATGGGAGAGCGAGCTCCTCTGATCCTTTTCTCAGCGGCCGACTAACATAGAATTAGTCCTCCAAGAACTCTGCTTCTGTCCACGTGGCCATCGTTCACAATGCCAGCCTCCACTAAAATCCTCCACCAGCGAAGAAAGCATGCCATTACAACCTTTTGGACCCATGAGATTGGATTTGACGGGCAATTATGCTGTACATTTGTTACGGTCAGCTATCCGACAGTAGGGTCTGCTAACAGAAGCTGGGGATTGACACGTTATAACAGTACACTGGGTCGTAGGTCGTAGGCTGTAGTAGATCAGGTCTTCAGAGGCTAAGGTGATCAGTCTTAGACTCAACAAGTAATTCGCAGTGAAGGTGAGCTGAGAGTATCCGTGAGGATGAGTACAAAGTTGATTGCTGAAGAGCTATGGAAGTCTGACCATGAGCCAGGCTCAGGGTCATACTATATACAAGTTCTACACAGTATCTTCTGTGGTGGCTATGTAGGATATCCGTGCTATCCAACATATCCCATGGATAGCTGGGATAGTGGACATATCCAACATATCCATTCTTGTCCTGTATCCGTGTTACTCCCGAGGTCACGTGACCTGTACCATAGTTCTTCCCTTTCCGATGGTTCCTGGTTACACCTGTGTTACTGCTTACATATGTCTCGCGTTAGCCGCCGAGATCCCAGGCGGGGTTGTTCCAACGTGTTATGCCTAACGGGTCGTAACAACATTGGTCACGGGTGACTACCTTCAAAGGCCTACTGACTGTTCGAACGGCATGGCATTGTCAGGAATCCCACTCGTCCATCACTAAGATACCTACTACGTATAAAAAATTCCTCGTAGCATCGGCGGCCCGGCGGTAAAGGCGTCTCAAGAGGTGTCTCACCGGCATTCGCGGAACATATTCAATCGAGATTTTAAAGTAGGAACGAGGACTCCCAGCAAAACTTATCGCGTTCGACCAATCCATA